TTCCTTCTTCATCCTCCTTTCCCCCCCACTTGAACTTAGTTGTGTTTTTCTCTTGTGTGGGTGTGTAATTCATGGGTTTCACATTAGTATTGAGTAAAATTGGATACTTGCTTTTCCGTTCTTGTGATGACTTTACCACTGAGGAAAGTTCTACCATGGAGGAAGTTCTTCAACTCCATGCAGGTTAATACAAAAGATGTAAAGTCTCTATTTTTATATACATATGCCACAAATTCAATGCTTTTAATAGCTTGTAGGGCTACTTAGGCTGCCTATTTTTTCTTGAGTGAGTTGGGAAGAGTCCATCTAACAGGGAATTTGTCTACTGCATTTAAAATGTTGAGTTTAATGACATAGAGTTGTTCGTGACTCTCTGTTATTCTTCTAATGACTGTGGGGAGCTCATCGCTCTCATTCCTGATATTGGTCACTTGCATTTTTTCTCACTTTTTTCTGGTCAGTCTGTGTATGAGTTTCCTGTGGCTGCTGTTACAAATTACCACAAACTAGGCAACTTAATAGAAACCCTCTCACAGTTCCTCCGCCATCTCGAGGGAACAATGTGTGTCTTGCTTTTTCCAGCTCTCAGTGTGGTAGCAAGTGGTCCTTGTCCTGCAGCTACATCAGTCCAATCTCCGCACTCACCTTCTTTCCTTTTTTCTTGACTCTCCTCTGCCTCCCTCTGATAGGGGTACATGTGACTGCATTTAGGGCTAACCCGGGTTACTCTTCCCACCTGAAAATGTTGAACTTAATTACATCTACATGATCCATTTTTGTCATCTACAGTAACACAGGTTCCAAGCATTAGGGGCCATTATTCAGCCTACCACAGTTTGACTTAACGCTTATCAATCTTATTGATCTTTTTGGTTTATTGGTTGTTTTTCTCAACTGTCTTCCTCTTTTTTATTTCGTTGATTTCCATTCTGATCTTATTATTATTTTTAGCCATGCTTCTCCTTTGGTTTTCATTTTTCTGTCTTTTGGATTTCTTAAGGTTGAAGCTCAGGTTATTGCTATAAATTTACTACTTCTACTTCAGCTTCATTCTGCAAGTTTTTATACATTATCTTTTTGATATTTTTTCAGTTTCATTTTTAATTTCCATTTTTTCTTTGATCTATATAAATTCAATCTCCAGTTTCAGAGGTTTCCCCAGTTATCTTCCAGTTACTAATTTACATACTAATTTCCTTGCGATCAGAGAACATTCATTGCATGACTTGAAAACTTTTAAATTAATTGAGAATGCTTTTAGAGCTCAGAGTGTAAGTATAGGTATACTCTTTAAGAATGTGCGTCCTGCTCTTATTTAGTGGGGTATTGTTTAAACGTCAGTTATTTAGGTCAAGTTTGTTAATAGTATTGTTGATTTTTAGCCTACTTGTTCTATCAGGTATTGAGAAAGGAGGGTGATCAAGTACTGGAGTGTAACTGAGTTTTTCTATTTCCTTTGGATTTATATCAGTTTGTGTTTCATATTTCATAGCTCTTAGTAGTAAGTGCATAAACATTTAGGATTGTTCTGTTCTCTTGATGAATTGATTCCTTTAACATCACAGGTTGTATTTTCCTGCCTCTGTGTATGCCTGGTTATTGTCTGTTGGGTGCCAGATATTATGTATCTTGTATTATCCTTGAGATTTGTTCTGGGATGCCGTTCAGTGGCTTGGAAGCAGTTGGGTGTTACTTTAAGCTGTTTTCCATGTTACGGAAGAATGTTTAACCTAGGACTGAATTTACACCGTTGCTAAGGTAGATACCTTCTGAGTACTCTTCCTTACACTCTAGGTTTTCATTCTGGTTGGTAGGAGCAGACATTGTTTCCAGCCGGGCAGAAGCTTCTGGGATTGATTTCACTAATCCTTTCCTCTGACTCTTTTCCCCACCTTGGGTTGTTTCCTTACAGACATCCACTGGTCAGTACTGGGGGACTCTGAAAATCTCTAGTTTTCTTTCTCTCTGCCTCTGACTTCCTTTCCTCCCTGGCCCTCTGCCCTGTAAATTCTATACCTCTGGGCATCCTTGTATTCTGAGCTGCTGTTTTCCAACTCAAGGAGACCACCAAAGTTGGCCTACTTTCCCCTCCCTCGGCTGCAGCTTGGAAACTTTTCTGAGGCATTTAGCAGGAATAATTAATTGTAGCGTTCACTTCATTGGTTCCTTGAATCTCAGGGATTGGTCTCTTCATTGCCTCTTAGCTGCTATCATGATAACTATTACTTTGTGCATTTTTTTTTTTTTGGTTGTTTCATGTGGGGAGGTACAAGCTGATAATTATGACTCCATCTTAGCTGGAAGTGGAAGTCAAGAGCTGGGATTTTATACAAACTGGGATCTTGTGCATTTTTAATCAGATTCAGAGCCTTCTTTAGGCTGCGCTCCCAGCTGGTCTGTCCACAGGAATGGCTGCTCTTGTGGGAGTGTCTTTTTTATCCTGCTATCAGAGCCCTGCCAAACTAGACAACTCTGTGCAAGTTACATGGCAACTTGATAGTGTGGGGCATTCAGAATGAAGAAAAAGATCAACCCGTTTTAAGTGCTCAAATCTATTTCTTAATTACATGTTACATTAGAGATCCTTTTATTTCTAATCTACGTTAATTGGTTAGAGGTTAGTTTTTATTATGTGGAAAATTCTGTGTTTCAAAGACAGAAACATTTAAAAGAACATTAAGGGTGAAATGTTAGTGTAAACAAATGTTTTTAATTACAAGAGCAAAAGAAATGTAGTAAGTAGAGCATGACATTTAAAATTTTCACTTATGGACATTCAGCCATTAATATAATTAATTTTTTTCTTTAGCCTCATAGCTTCTGTGATATAAAGATTAATGATAATTTTTATTTGTTAAGTCACTTTTACTGCCTAATCAAGCTAGGTTTATGATTTTAATGAAAGGAAATTCTTTAATTTTGTTTATGCACAATCAGATGTGCAGCTACTGCGACCAAAATTTATCTGTTAAGAAAAAGTCCAGTCTAACAGAGGAACTACCATTGCTTGTTTTTAACAGGAAGTCCAAAGCAAGAGAAAATACAAAATTCAGATTTTAAAAGAAGCTAAGACATAAGTATGTGATATTTATGTGATAGCTTATCTCTTGATATTAAGGCAGGTCAGACTTTGGTCCTCATTTCTCATGATTTTCTCTTAGTTTTTATGTCTTGCAAAATTATTACCTAATCTGTCCATCAACTCATGAAACAGTTTACAAGTAAAAGCAGATACAGTTATCCAAAGATTATAATAGGTTTTCTTGTTGTTGTTCAGCAGGAAAAGCCAATTTCTCATCAATGGGGGTTATTAAAAGCTGAAAAGGGTTTTTGTCTGTTTTGTTGTTTATTTAAATTTTTTTCCGTGGTGTGTAAGGTAAATGACAATATTTTTATTTGAAAGTTTGATACATGGAAAAAGGTAGTACATTGCTTATTTTGTGGCTCGTTTATAAATACCTGTGTTTTCACATGAGCCTGGCTATCTTTTAGGCAGCTGATCCAGATATATTTTGCTACCATAGAGCGCTCAGAATCTACCTGTTTCCCCAGCCTTTTTGATGTATTAGGCTTTAACACTGCTTTGCTTGAGTCTGAGGCAATTTGACATTTATAATACCCTCTGCCTACTTGCTAAATGGGTTGTCACTGCATTTAGCTTGGAATGGCCATCAACACTTCACCAAATTAATCTGTGTCCTGTCTTGCCATTTAGAGACAGAGTCGTTTGTAGTAAATCAAGTTTTGTAATAGTAATCTCACATACGCAGAGATCGAATATTCTTGCCCCTACGATATTCAGTTGTAATTAATGCCCTGGCTTGACGTTAACTTTTACTGCTGAGACAACAGCATATTCTATTCCATTTCTACAAACTGGAATATTGGATTTCTAGAAGATTTCCAGATATAGTGAGACTTCCTTGGCTTTTAATGTACTTGACTTGGTTTTCAGTTCCCTAAAGAAATGTGACCTCCAGGAAAAATGCCTCTAATCAAGCAATTAGCATTCCCTTGATCTCAGATCATTTCTTCTAACTGCAGAAATACCATAGGTCCTGGGAGTCAACTCTAGCCCCAGATGGACATACAGGATGCCTCTTAGGGCGAAGGTGACACTTAATTGGAACACTTAATGAAGACAGAAAGGGCACATTAATAATTATGCCCAGACAACAGGCCAACAGGCGTTGATAAAGTTAGTCGTTGATAAGGCCTCGGTGGATTATTTAGATTGACAGCTTTCTAGAATTGATCTACAATTCTGATAAAGAGGAAGAGATCTGGGCTGTTTTTTGAAAGGCCATTTATATTTTAAAATGACCACTGAATGCCTCTTAAGGAATTATTCAAAATTTAAAAGTGTATGTATGGGTGTTTTATATATATACCCACTCTCATTTACGATAGACGTTTATTTTACTTTTATTACCTTTTTGATAACTTTTGTTAATAATATCTATAGTAGCTCTGAGCCAGTCTGAGACTGTGCCCAAATTCTTTAACTTCAGTTAAAAGAGATTGGAGTGAATTTTGTTTCTTGTTTAATTGTTTTTGATAAATGCTATTTTTTTTTTTTTTTTGGTTGATGAAAGCAATTTTGCCAGTAACTTTGTAGTCCTACATGGATGAATTTTAGATAATATTTAATTGCCAAGAAAATCAAAGAACAAAGAGGGTGATTAATGAATATAGCTTATAGGAATTTAAGGAAGAATAATTTGATGGTTTTGGTTATAAAGGTCTCCCCAGAACCTATAAATTGTTTTAACTTGAATTTTCTCTCACTGCTTTACAGTTTAAAAAGTTATACAAAGTCTGTTTTAAAAATCATACATTGTACCCAGATTTCTGTAAAAGTATATTTGTTCTATTTTAAAATGCCCAGTCATGTTGATTTCATGGATACTTGGGGAAATTTATCCTAATGGGAATAATTACTATGAGAGCTAAAAATAATAGATGTGTCCTTTTTTTTTCTTTCTTTTTTTAAAAAAAAGCCGGACCTGTGATCTGCAGAATGCTGAGTTATCCCCCAACTCGCCGAGCTTTAATTGTGGGTTGTGGCCTACAAATGTTCCAACAGCTCTCAGGCATTAACACCATCATGTATGTATTTCTTTCTGGATTTTTACTGAAAAGATTGTGAAAGGATTATTTTACCTGAAAAAAAAAATAATAAAGAATAGGACTCAGTGATTTATTATTATTAAATGTAGGGGATTCTCCTTGTGGGAGATCCTTCCTTTATGATTTCTTTAAATCCTATAATTTGTTTGATGATTAGAAAGAGGTGATTTATTTTATTTATTATCTATTGGCTTTATTTGCTTTCATATAATTGTTCTTTTATGCCACTCAGTACTTCCTAATAGTCTAAGCTAACGTGTCATTATCCTAAACCATTTCTTGATGTTAGTTAGAAAGTAATAAAAAAAAAAAAATGAAATCTCTTGGCATTGCCAGAGATTGTAAGCACACAGATAACTAGTCCATTTCCTTTTGGAGAAATCTGCGTGTGATAGGGACATTAGTAGAAGTATGCTTATTACAACCAGAGTACCATGGAGGGGAGATTGAGTGGGAGAGGAGAAATGGGAAAAACAGAAGAGTTCCACGTTCTCTAGTTTTTGGAGTAGTCCCCAAAGTTGTACGCCTGCTGGGTTGGAGTGGAACGAATAGGATGGGCTGTATTCAAAACCCATTTGGGGGGTTTATACCAGATACACAGCAAATAAATAAAGTAGACTTGGGCCCTGGCCTTTATATAGGGATGTGTATAGGCTGGTGGAAGAAACCCACATTAAATAAACACATACTTAAATATAGGATTTCAGATTCTGATAAGGGATATACAGGACGGTTCCATTTCTCCAGAGTAGGCTTTTAAGATTCTAGAGAATAGAATACCATTTATAAAAGGTCATGAGTTTTCCCAGGTCACAGGTTGTTGGATAAAAAGCTGTTGGATCTGATCTTGGAAGTTCTTCCACCCAAACCTATTGGTTAAAATTAGTCATTAAAAAAATGCAAGTTACATAAAATTAAATTCCCTGGTAAACCATTTGTACTTGAGGCTGTGGATATTTTCCTTTCAAGGTACTTGGGATATAGAAATTGTTTAGCGGTAGAAGAAGAAGAGTAAGTTGGTTAAAAAGACCCAAAGACTATTAGATTAAGTGAGGATTTGTTAAGAAACTCCACTTTCAATACAACCATGTTCTTTGTGGATTTGGTTTTAATCATAACCCCCACTAGACTTCCCAGACCACATTTGTAATATTTTGCCCTCCACTCTTTTCCTCTAATGTTTACTTTTATTTTTCCTCACCTTTATCAATTCTGTTAAGGTCCATCTGTTTGCTGGTATGGTACCAAGCATGCTTTGTCCGTGTTTTTTCTGGATGTAGCACCTCATGACCCTGTCTGAGATGTGTCTACCCTTCTCCATGTGGTGATGGCCTAGAATTCACCAAGCCTAGGACCACGCTTTCAGATGACACCATGCAGTAATCACCCTGGGAGAATATTCTAGTTGGTCAACCTAATATGTGTTCTATTTCTGAAAACATTTTTTTGTTTATTCTGCTTTTTTCTAAGTGTTTAAACCTGTCAAGTTTAAAAGCATAGAAAATGAAGGATTTTTGTGGTACTTTTTTGTGTTCCTTTAAAACAGGTATCACATTCTGAGCCAACTCTAATTGACTCGTGGTGGCTGAGACCAGTGTGTTCCGAGTTGAAGTGACTGTCGTAATCCTTTCTCAATATCTAGTATAAATGGTGCTGATTTAGGTTTTCGAATTTTAATAAAGCATTCATTTCTCCAAAGCCTTAGTCTTTTCATCGAGATTAAGTATTATAAAGGACCTCACCTTCCCTAAGATTTGTGATAGTCATCAATGTGCTTTGCTTATCACAAACCGTATGTGATAAAAGGAGTGTTGTTGTAGAGCTTTCGCTTGCGTTTGAGTATTAATCCTGACGGCTAAACTTAGACTGAGTCTGCATGATTCAAAACAGCTAGTCAGCTCCCCGAAGAAATAAAAACGATGTTCATATCTAGAGGTTAGAGGGTTAGACACTTAATATGGGTATGATACCTAGCTCTGCAACTATTCATTTATGGCACGTAATTTCAGACACTCACATTGTAAGCTCATAAAACCAGCATATATCAATGTCATCATGATAGACTATGCTACTGTTTACTATCAGGATAGGAAACATCCAGTCTGGGATGCTCATGTAAAGTGTTTCTCCCGCTCCCACTCCCACTCGCCTGTGTTTGTATATGTGTGTGTGTTTTTCCAGTGTTGTTTAAGATTCAGTAAATGCTATCAAAGATTTTGTTTTGAATTTCAATTGATCTTTTACCCAAAGCCTAATCATTTATTTTGTGTGGGTTTTAGTAGAAAATATCATTTTTTTCTCATTTCTAATTTTGTTTAGAATTCTGTTTTTATAGATATTTCCATCATAAATAACACATCTTTACACACATAAAACTTTACTCTTACTTTCCACCTTCTTCCCTTTTACGTGGCTCTTCTGTCTTCTAATCCAACCCTAATAACAAGTAGAAGTTGAAATAGGCTTTTACAGATTCCGTCTTTCACCCCAAGCTCTGTGTGAACTGAAATGGGAGGTATTTTGAATTTTATTTCTCCTCAAGAAAAGTTTATAGAAAGATCATATGGAAGAATATTAAAAGATAATTCATCCTAACTGTTACATTATATAATCTTAGCCATGTTTAGTTTTCTCTGTTCTCAAAGAATCCTTTATTTCTATTTCTTTGACCTATTTAATACCTTATTTCAGTCAAGGAAATATATTTTTTATTCAAATACTTAATTTTCCTTTCCTGTACTGTGTTGTGTGTCTATGTAGCTTGTATCTGGATGATACACGTAACTCGTGTTTTTTTTAATATCTTAACCCATACCTAATCATCCTATACCCTACTGAACAGAGGAATTGCAAGTTCTTAAAAATATTCCCTATTTAATGGTGGTACCCTTAGCTCAGTGAGTAGGGTGCCGGTCACATACACTGAAGCTGGCGAGTTTCAGCCCAGCCTGGGCCAGCTAAAACAACAATGACAACTGGAACCAAGCACTGTGGCAGGTCCCAGCTACTTGGGAGGCTAAGGCAAGAGAATCACTTAAGTCTAAGAGTTTGAGGTTGCTATGAGCTGTGATGCCATGGCACTCTACTGAGGGTAACATAGTGAGACTCTGTCTCAAAAAAAAAAAAAAAAAAAGAAAGAAAAACAAAATTCCATATTTAAGACATTGCATTTAACTTTTAAATAAGCTGGTTTTCTGTTGTAATATGACTGTGATCACTTAATAATCTTTACATGCAACTGAACTGGTCATTCTCCTGTATTCACAGGAGAGCAAGAATAAAGCAAATGGAGAGCTAGCTTTCCTAATATAAAGATGTTTATATTATTGCACTGTATCTCACAGACCATTAAGATATTTCCACATGTGTCAAAATAAAGAAGAGTGATAAATGAAGATGATGATGATTAATGTAACAAAACCTTGCAGTAAAATGATTTTTTGTTCTGCTGGGTAGATACCTAGTAATGGGATTGTGGGATCAAATGGAAAGTCAACTTTTAGTCCTTTGAGATTCTCCATACTTCTTTTCATAGACGCTGTATTAGTTTGCAGTCCCACCAGCAGTGTAGAAGTGTTCCCTTCTTTCCACATCTACACCAGCATCTGCACATTTGGGACTTTGCAATGTAGGATAATCTCACTGAGCTAGGTGGTATCTTAGAGTGGTTTTGATTTGTATTTCTTGATGACTAGGGACAATGAGCATTTTTTCATGTGTTGGCCATTCATCTGTCATCTTCAGAGAAGTTTCTGTTCAGGTCTCTTGTCCACTTACAAATAGGATTGTTTGCTCTTTTCTTGTCGATTAATTTGCATTCTCTGTAGATTCTAGTTATTAGGCCTTTGTCATGTTTGTAGCATGTCAAAATCTTCTTCCATTCTGAAGGCTGGCTTTTGCTTTGGTTGTGGTGCCCTTGGCTGTACAGAAGCATTTTAGCTTGATCAAAGCCCAGTTACTTATTTTTGGTGTTGCTGCAATTTTACCACAGGGACATTTGCACTAGCATGTTTACTGCAGCCCAATTCATAATTGCCAAGTCATGGAAGTAGCCTAAATAGCCATCAGCTAATGAATGGATTACCAAACTGTGGCATATGTATACCATGGAATGGTATTCAGCCATAAGAAATGATGGAGACTTTACATCTTTTGTGTTTACCTGGATGAAGTTGAAACACATTCTTCTCAGTGTACTCAAGACTGATACAAAAGCAATATATCAACAGCGACATGCCCACACAGAAGATAAAACACAAATATAGTCAAGCAGGGAGAGGGGAGAGGAGGGAGGGCAGTTGGTGAGGTCTCAATGTGCACAATGTGAGGGTGTTCAGCACAACCCCTGGGTGAAGGGCTCAACTACAACTTGAACTTTACCTTAGAATTGAAACCAGTGTAACCGAATCTTTGTACCTTCATATTAATTTGAACTGAAAAAAAATAAAAACAGACAAACAAAAAGAGAGTAAACAGGAAGGAAAAAACCATATTGAAACCCTTGGATACCCTACCTGGAATCTGATGGGAATTCAGAAAGTCTCTGTGGTAGTTCTCATGGAGTCTTTCTCCTGTAGTCACTAGACTGATCCAGACGAAAACCAAATCTAGAAAATCAACTTAACAGTTTGGGCAAACCCAATTAAATACTCAGATTCTTCAGTTTCAATCTCTTATTGATAGGCAAGAAATGGGCCCCTGAGATATCAGGTCTAGACATCCCGCAGACATGGACGAGACTAAGATTGTGAATGCTAAAACCCTCCTCAACCTCCTGAGGAGGTTTGGGTCCTCCAATCTCATTTCCACTGACTAAACGCCTGGCTGGACGTAGTGGCTGGACCTTGGGCATTGGCCTTCCAGGGAAATGTGACTTTCCTCAGGACCCACCTCTATCTAGTACACTTCATTGCTTCCGGCTCCATGAGGAGAGTCAAATGCCAGCATGGTCCAGATCACAAAGTACAAGACCTAATCCT